ATTGTTTTTTAATTTCTATTACAATTAGCATTTTGAATTTTGTAACAAAAAATTTCCAAAATTTTAAAAGAGACGTCGCATGCATGTATTCCCTCCCTCATGCTGTTTACTGCTTGCGTCTCAAATCTGGCGTCACTGATGTCGACTTGTGTCATCAGCTGGAAAGCGGTCTATATAAAGTTTATGGATAATCTCAATCTTCCGCGAATTTCAGTTAAAGCGGTTATAATTTCAATATGTCGGTTCAAGAAACTCAGGTTGAGTACGATATAAGTGTTCACTTTGTCGTTCCAAAAACTTGCAAGTCCGAAAATGATTGCGGGGAAACAATGTGGCAAGCGTTTAACGTTCGTACATTTTTATTTTTCATCGTTCTTGCTTGTATATCTTTATTTTCTGAGATAATGAAATCAGTATTTGTGAACAAAACAGGAGCAAAGATTTACATTTTGTGATTATGGATTTGCTTTTCTTAACTGCGTTCTCTGTATCTTATTTTGCTATTTTTTGCTTTTTCTTTTCAAATGTTTAATAGAATTACATTTTATTATAAGTGAATAAAGTGTAACATAACAGAATTAAAAGTAGCAGATTTGTTGAGTTAACAATGTTCTACTTGTATATGTGCATATATCCAAACTTTTTCATAAAAATATCTGTTCTCTTTCAAAGAACACTTCAGTTAACATTTCTTATTCAATTGAGATAAAGCAAGAAGCTTAAACAATTTATTTATATGCCAGATTTTCTCAACTTTATCATAAAAATGGAGAATGTAAATTTTGCTCGTTTTTCATTTTTTTTTGTTTTATTTGTAAATATTTATATCTACTTTATGAAGAGTATGTAATTCTAATATTTAATGGTATAATGATAAATTATATGTGCAGTTATTCAAATAAAAAGTTATTTTATTTATTAGAAATGCAGTGAACTTGGGTTACAAACAGAATGGGTTACTGAAGAGTTTTGCAATAAGATAAATGCATCTAAAAGTGATGTATTTATCATAGAAGAATTCAAGGGTGATTTGTTTGAAAAGTTGAAAAATTTCAAATGCTCGTAAGTATATAGATAGCTCATTTATTATAGCTGTAGATATAACTACAAGCTTAAAATACAAATATGAGATCGATTAATATGTGTACAGTGTAGTAACAAACACTTATATTTTGCTTGGTGTTATGTGAGATAAGAAAAAAATAATCAAAGAAATTTATATTGATGACTTACATTTTAGCAGAATAGTATCATCAAAGTGCTTGCTTATTTGCCTTATAAATGGAGAATCGATTCCAGAAGGAACAAGTCCAATATATACAACAGCTATGAGAGGAATGTATGTTTGTGCATCAGGTTTAAGTTCTGAAAGCAAGGTACAACTGTCTTAGCAATTATCTTTCTTCTAATTGAATTATAGTTATTTGTAACAACGATAATTTTAAACTATATGTTAATCATTGTTATAGCATCAGCTACAACAACAGATTGAATATATGGGAGGTTTTTTTACAAAACATTTAAGACATTCTGTCACACATTTAGTAGCAGATTCTGTGATGTCTGCAAAGTATGAGGTATGCTAGTTTTTATATTATCAAGTTAGTTTTTAAATAATAATATTATCTACGAATCTATAGTTATGCATTTATTTATAGAATTTATATTTTTCCTCTTTTTCAGGCTGCTATAAAAATGAATATATCAATTATGACAAAGAAATGGGTAGAAGCTGTCTGGGAAGCAAACTTGAAGCAAGTAATTAAGGCAAATGATAAAATTTTTGATGAATACAAATGCCCAGTTTTTATGAATCTGATAGTTACGTCAACAAATCTTCCCAAGCGTCAGAAAGAAGAAATTAAACGTCTCATACATGACCATGGAGGAGTGAGTTGTGCAATATATATATAATGGCAATATATAAATATACCAATATAATGGCAATTTTCTATTTGAATATTACATTTGTATTTTGTAGACATTTATGGGTCCTCTCGATGGATCAAAGGTTCGAGTGGTTGTAACTTCCGAAAATGGCCCTTTAAGCGATAAGTTGAAGTATGCAATGAATAATGACATTGCCTGTTTAAAACCAGATTGGGTATACGAAAGTATTAAAATAGGTTACGCTTTACCTTTCCGTGATTTTATTATCAAATCTAACAAAGCATGTTCAACGCCGGAGAAGCTAAATAGTACGTATGTAATGATAACGAATTATTAATTGGTAATTGCAAAAATTAAATATTATTTACTCACAAATTAAACTATTTTTTGCATTTTTATTGTTTATTAAGTTTACAATCTACTAATTTTATAAATATAATAAATTTTTTAGAGTAAAGAATAATAGCAGAAAATTATGTGATTAGTATTTTATTAATAAGCATACTTATAAGTTAAATAACTAAATTAATGCAATAAATTTGCAATTTAAATATTGTATTAATAATTTATTTAATATAATTATTACTCACAGACTGGGGAATATCATTTTTTATATATCTTTCAGGTCGAGAAACGCTTAATTTTTCCGAAATCAGCATTATACCACATGATAAAGCTTCGAATAATTACATAAACGAAAGTTTCAGTACGACACCAAACTCCTCTATTATCTCTGTGACCGGAGTAATTAACAATTCCTCTGACAGTAAATATTCAATTTATTATTTATGTTGCAATTTGTTTTATTATATCGATTAAAAGTATATCCGTAATTTCTATCATGCAGCGGCTGCGTTACATGTTTTGGATCGACTTAATCTCAGCGAAGTGAAATCCGCTGGACCATTTCTGGACGGATGTAATGTAAATATTTTTTTAAGCTTTGAAATTATCAATATTACGCTTTTTTTTCCAATTTTTTTAATTTTGCGCGGTTTGTGTTTTGCTTTTGCAGATTTACCTCGCAGGATTCGCGGCAAACGTTCGAGACAAATTGAACAGAATACTAAACGTCGGTGGTGCGACGCGTCTCGATGAAATATCGGATGCTGTCACGCACGTGATCGTCGGCGACGAGAATAAAGCATCCGCGGAGCTAAAAGTGATGAAATCGAGAGGTTTATGGTACAGTAACTGCGAACGAATATATCTTTACCTATTTGCATTCTAATTTATGAAAAATTTTCATTTTTAATAGCTAATAAAAAATTCATATTTTTGCCAAAAGAATCATCTCGCATGAAGAGTTTGATTATAAATTTCATTTGGTTTCACATGTTAATTATGCATTTTGATCACATGCATAATTTATGAACAACATAGATATACTATACAGATATATTTTTTTCAGCATTTTTTTACTTTTATACTTAGAATTTATCTGTGTACTTTTATATCTGTTTTTTTTTTGTACAGTCCTTACATATTGAGCATAAACTGGCTGGAGGAGAGCATCAAATTTAAACGGCCGGCTTCAGAAGAACTTTTTCTATTTGAAACAAAAGGAGCAGTACTTAAAAAGAATACTGAAACACTCGCTTCTCCGCTCAGTAAAAAGGTACATCAATAAATATCTTATGTAATTATGGCGATTGAGAATTGACGATGTTCTCAATTCTTAAAAACCAGATACTTTGACAAAACTATTTTTGTTTATGCTTGATGTATGTTTGTATGCTTTTTTAGAATTTACAAATGTTGCAACAACCGAGGAGACCTCCTGTTCCACTTTTCAATTTGGATGAAGAACTCGCATCCAAGAATGAAGAACAGCAGCCTAATCTTGTGCAGCAATATCTGCAGGAAACTAGTGGTAATATTCTAATAATACATTTGCAACGTGTTATATGCGTATCTTACATTATTAATTAAAAAGAAAACAGTGTTACATTCTCGGAAAAAATTTTTGAGAAGATACAAAATTGTTAAGTGACTTACAGATGTTTTATTATAATTGTTGGATAATTGAATTACAGAACGTAAAAGCACAATGCATAATCTTGCGAAGACGCCCGTTTTGGAGGATAATTTGAGCCGAAGTAATTTGAATAACACGAAAGATGTACGTATTAGCCAGATTCGTTTATCAAATATCATGCAGAATAAGAACATGGAAAACGACAGTGATGTGCCTCTCAGCCAAAGCTGCAAGATAAACGAGGATTTACTTAAAGGTGCTATTTTTGTTTTTGTTTTATTTAAATTTTGCATTCGTATTCTGAAAAGCAAATAAAATGCCCGGGTATCTATATACTATGTTCATTACATTACTTGGTTAACACTAAATAATATTAAGAAACATTAATATTAAGTGCTATTTTGCGCCAAGTATCTAGTACATCTAGCATAGTAACAATTTTGAAAAAAAAAGAGTAATCTTTATACAGGATTTTGTTTTTCTCGAACTAATTGTTGCATAAAATTATATATTTCTTTAAAAGATAATGAAAGCGCAAGAAAGCGCATGAATTTTTCTCAATGCAATAACAAAACTATACATGCAGGGTTGACGTTTGCTGTGATCGGCTTTAACAATGACGACAATCACGTGGAGGAGACGATCGTGATGTGTGGTGGACGCGTGGTTTCTAAAAAATATAGTGGTATTCCAGATTACGGCGTTGTGCCTGTGCTCGGAGCGCCTTTGAAGCACACAGTCAACGAAATCGTAACCGATTTGTTTATCGTAAGTATTCTTTGTACTAGGTTTTTTTTTTCTAACTTTTGAATTCATCTTTTTGAAGATTAAGCATTAGAAAGTTTTGCAGAGCTACAGAAATTATTTCTTAAAAGTCCTAAAATTCTTATTAACAATGTCGCCGATAAGATTTTCAATAATTGTTTGATTTGTTTACAGGAAGATTGCATAAATCAGGATCAAATTGTCGATATTATGTATTACCACAGGCCATTATCTATCAGAAAACCATGTAATCCTCTATCAGGATGTGTCATTACGATGAGTATGTATACAGGGACTGAGCGAGTATATCTCTTAACATTGGCCACGAAACTTGGTGCTATGTAACGTATATTTACCATATATATATATATATATATATTAGTAAATGATTCTACAGGAAAAAATATGTCGCGAATATATATATATCAATATTTTTAGATGTCAAGATATGTTTGCACGGATCGCTAATGTGGAGAAGCATACACGCGGCAATACGCATCTAGTCTGCCCGACGCCAGAAGGAAATAAATACAATGCATCGGTAAGATGGAAATTGCCGGCTGTCACTGCCGACTGGTTAAAAAGCTGTGCGGAGCAATTAACGCTTGTAGATGAAACTGAATTTCTTGTCGGGGAAACAATAGGTAAGTAAATTGCTTTACATTTTGTAATATATACAACTTTTTTATAAGAAATTAATATATGTGTAGAATAATTTCAAGATTCAAAGATTAATAGAAATTTTAATAGAAATTTAATCGAAAGATCTTGATTTACAGAAATAAGCTTTTAAAGCAAGTTTTCCAATTCAAATAAAAATTTATGTAACTATTTTGTTTTCTCTGAAATATAGAATTATTGGGTATTTTGAATTGCAAATATAAATATATGTATGTACGTGTATACAGCGCCTGATAGATCAAATTCTATCAATGGGACAAGTTTTCTTAACAAAGATGAAGAAAATAGAACGAGCTTAGCGGAGAAAGCCACAACAAGAATTCTGCTTACACCGAAACGTCACTTATCTCAAGTCAAAGTAATGATGAATATTCTCTCTAATATTTATTTAATTTCAATTTGCAAATGTAAATGTATAACGGCAATGCTAATTGAGTTGGAATGTGTGAAAACTTGACTTCTTAATGCCAATATAATCCAAGATACTTAAAATTTGGCTTGAATGCACAAAATTTATTTTGTAGTGCATTCAATTACAGATTACAATTTTGATAATGTTACAGAACCAAGACACTCTGTCTCCCGAAACCCCATTGATAAACAAGAGACTCAATCTCATGACGAGTCAGGGATCACAGTCGCCGTTTCATATTTCTACACCTGAGACTCCATATGGACAAGTCTTTGAACCCAATCCTTCACCGAACACGCGAAAGCAGTGGATCAAATTTGCGGATAATTTTCCAGATTTACGAGTATCGGAACCGCCACTTAAACGACGTTTACCCAGCACTGTGAGTGTTATTCTTCTCGCAAATGTGATTTTTCATCACATGTTCGAAAATAATAATGTATTCAAAATAAGTAATAAAATAAGTTACTATAATTGAAAGTTATTTGCAGCCGCTTTCAGAATTGAAAAATCAACTTTGGGGAAAACTGTTGGATGCAGCTCAATTAGAATCGGTGAGAGATAAATACATTTAAAAGTCACGCCTAATATTATCGCCGCGGAAAAATTTAAAAACAAAGTAAATTTGTTTCATTAAAATAAATCTGATATGACACAATTAATTTTCAATTGTAACATTAATTTATAATCAGCAGCTCTTAATTATTTCATAATTTTTTGTTATATATTTAAGAGATATTGAAAAGAGTTATTTTAATATCAAGATTGCTTTGACTAGCTTTTATATTTAACTCTCAGGAAAACGCAAGCGAAAGAGCTGAAAAAGTTGAAAGAGTCGAAAGAGTTGAAACAGCTGAAGTTGCGGAAAGAGATGATGAAGTCAACAATCAATCCAACAAAGATCCATCAACGCCTACGTCCAGAAGTCAAAAGCTCGAATTTGGCGAAAACAATAGCCCAATATCAACTAAACCGAATAACGAGATAAACATGTAAATATATTTCAAGCTATCTCGAATTGCCTGGATTGAGAATTTTTTTAACGATGTTGGAACATATTAAAATATCTAAGAAATAATTGAAATATAAAAAGCAAAATAATAATACAAAATAAATATTTTAGTTGAAATTAAATTTGATAATTTTTGTACATTATTGTAAATATTATTTATATATATATATATATCGCTTTTATATTTTATACATATATACTGTATGTGTGTTTGTGGTATTTAAGTCAATTTGGTCTTATGATAAACAGGCAAATAGCGCAATTGGATCAAATGCTTCAACGGACATCGAGTACTCCTGAAAACAGGTACTCTCTATCCGGAGAAAATGCAAAGAAGTACAATGTTGAAGCTTCTGATCACATACAGAAATGTGAGTACTTACGTTATTATATGCATGAAATCTATATTTTTAATATTTGAACCATGCCCTTTTTTATTATAATGTTAATTGTTTTATTAATTTTACAAATAGGCATAATAAAGGATTCGCAACCTATCGACGCTATCGTGTGGGAAGATCCGGATCATCCAAAACAGGTAAGCAAGAATTGGCTTGCATATCTTTTTTTTCAAATCACTTTTCGAAAATTAGTAATTTTGTTCTCGTCATATGCATTTTCAGTTATCTCATTTTAATGAAACAAATAAAAAATTTATTATTTTAGTAAAAAATAAATGTAGCATAAAAGATAAAAGTATAGAAGAATGCATGTATACGAACAAACTTGATTTTTTGATTCCACACAATGATTACTCAACTTTATGGAAACTTAACTTGAAAGAAATTAGATTACAGTTTTGTATAATTTAAGTTTAGTTTAAATTTGTGGAAAGCTTTTATGGATTAAATTATACTAATGCGTATCCAATTTATTATTCTTATGTATCAATCTTTTTGCTTTTCGATCATTATTCTTATTTACCGACGCTCAAACAATATTTACAGCTAACGATACAAATAAACAAGAATGATCACAGCAGTATGGATGTCGAAGAATGTATCGAAGCCGTTACGGAATACGAAGATGAACCACAGATAACGCGAAAGTTTATGCTGTCGGGTATAAAGGTATTACGCTTTTCAATATATTTTGCACAATTATCGAAATATCGATACTATTATTATAATTCAACATTGATATCGTTATTTTAACATATTTTATTAGGATAGGAACATCTATGAACAAGTGATAAAACAGCTGGGCGGAGATGTATCGACGTGCACGAATTTCGATAATAGTGCTACACATCTTTTATGCATCAGACCATCTAGAAACGAGAAAATGCTTAGTAGTATAGCTGCTGGAAAATGGGTCCTACATTGCTCATATTTGCGGGATTCCGATCGAGCAGGCAAATTCCTCAATGTTGGTATATTTGTTTATTATTATATTCTGCAAGAGATTGCTACGTTGATATTTAATGTTTTTGCAATTTTGATATTTTTAAGAACACTGGTTAGGAATTTTGGATCAGTCTTTTTCGATAAATCGAAAATCGAGGAACATCATAATAATAGTATTTATGATTCTTGGATTTGTACATTTAATCAAAATCTTTGAGTGATGCAAAAATTTAAGATTACAAAGATATAAAGTGTCGAAAATATATTCATGAATCGATCTGATCGTTTGTAAAATACAAATTATCAATGCCAGTTTTTTAAGTAATAACCAAAATTTATGATTTTTCTAACTGCGGGAGTCTATTGCGTATAATATTAATCGCGAATGAAAATTTTGCAGGAAGAGGAATATGAGTGGGGAAACCCACAGAGTAAAGATGTGATTCCGAAACCGAGCGGCGAGATCGAACAGGCGATCGCGGCTGCAGCTTACAAGTGGCGAGTGAAGTTACATCAGGAACCAGACGGTCCATTTTTCGGTATGGTGGCTTTATTAATGACTTCCGAGGAGAAATATGATCAGTTTAAGAGACTAATCGAAGCCGGCGGTGGTTTAGTTACGCAAGCAAGGTATGTATCTTTTTATTGAAATAAAAGTTTTACTATCCGTTATCATAATTTGATTTGATTACAGGCCACCTTACGACACTAGTCCTTCCGGACATAGGATCACACACTGCTTCGTCAATGTGAAACAGGTGAACAATATTTTACGTAAAACAAATTACGCGAAGTGTAATGCAATTCAATTATTCGCCTTTTTTTTATTAATTATTTCAGTAAACATGAATTTAGTATATTGGGTTGTGTAGTGAGTAATTTCGTATTTTTTAATAAATAGTGTTATTGTTTTTAAGCAGCACGTTTTTACGCATCGTGAAAAAATGATGATATGACGAAACTTGATTACAGCTTTGGTAAATGACTTAATTTAACTACGTTTTGTTTTAATTAAACTGCGCTTTGTCCGACAAATAAAGTAGATAAATTTATTTTAAAAATCTGTAATTACTTATTACACAACTCAATAATAATTGGTTCTATAAAACACTAAAATTTGAACAGAATAGAGGATGGATGTCTATTTATGACTATATTTATGCTAAATAGTTGTGAAACTATTTCTATCTTTTTTGTAAGTTATTATTTTTGAAAACAGATGAACCAGCCCATAGACTGGGCTATGCTGGCCAGTAAAGGTATCCTCTGTTTCTTGCCGCAGTACCTTAGCGATTACCTGACGACAGTAACCCCGCTCAATCCGCGGGATTGCGTGGTGCCAGAATTTAAGAAATATCTCACGCTACTTCCAAAGTAGTCGTATAATGGTGTACATGTATATATTACAAGTCATGAAGTGAACGAAATGTGTATAATAAAACCAATTATTTTTCATTTTTTATGTATTTATTTGTTTAATATGATATTTTATTCAAAATTAATTATAATAGCAAAATTTTATCGTTATTACATCTTTGCAATAGCAATAGCGATTTCGTTGCAGAAACAAAATTGTATTACTATACACACTCGGTGTGGGATGTACTCTTAATAATTGCTAGCTAGATTTGTTCAAGATATGTACAAGTGATGAAAATGGACTTATTAAGTAAAAAATTGTATTGATTCTATCACTTATTTTATGATAATAATACTTATCGATCTGTAAAGTCAAAATATTTCAAAACAAAATATAAATGACTATATATTTTATAATTTATAAACATAAAACGAATAATTAAACATCAGAAATATACATTCTAAGTGCTCTGCGTTGTAATATTTGAAATATATCCATGATAATCTTTGTCGTTCTTCGTATGCTTCTTTGTATTCGAATATCCTTTTATGCCTTCTTTTAATAGGTTGATAAAAGTTTTTAATGTTGATATAACAATATTCGATTTTGCATAATCTGCATTTTGTTTGAAAATTCACCAATTTTCTATAATTTATCCACGGCTTTATTTTATATTGGCTATTTGGTAGTGCAGATATTGTGTTTGTTGCTAGTGATGAAACGTATTCTGACGAATCATTTATGTAGTCTGTTGCGTATTTTCCAATTTTTCCGAATGTCTTGTTATCATATGATAATTCAAAAGTGGTGAAAGAAGAAGAAATAATTTGCTGTTACAAATATAACATTCTATCTCATAATCACCACTTTGCGTACAATATTTTTCTTCCCAATTTCTCAATCTATTATTCTTCAGTTGTGTTGTAGAATGCCAGCTTATGTGATTTGCTACATGTTCATAATTAGACGGAACAATTGCACCGCAGATAATACATTGTGAGTTTACATCATCAAGAAATTTGAAATATATCCAATACAGTTCTTTTAGATTTTTCTCTTTTTCGTATTTATGAATTTTCATCATGCGTGTTTTTTATATGTTTATAAAATAATCCAAATCTGACGTATTTTAATTTATATTTACAAAATTTGAACCTTGCTCGAAAATCCTGTAATATATAATATTGCCAAATTCGATTGTTAGTTACGAATAGTGATGTAGACATTGCGCCCATTTCAAGTAACAGAATGTATGTAGCTGAATAAAACAAACACTTTCTGTCGAAAGGTATTCGATAATACAAAACGAAGGAAAACGTGTATAGTTTTCGATTTGTAAATATTAATACATCGGTCAAACCTACTCAGTTGCGGTGACATACCGAACATATCTAGTAATAATTTCTCCGCGAAAGAGGCGTTACAGCGCATCTTTTACACGAATTGTTTCTTTAGAAATAATGCAGAAACAATTATTTTCATTTATCAAATAAAACTATTCTCAAATAATGCCTATATCGAAGAAATACGCATATTTTTCTGAATTTATCAGAAACTACTTGAATATTGAGGACAATCAGTGTGACCAACTGAACAGAATTAAATTATCGCAGCTCGCTGACAACCACTTAATACTAAAGCACTATAAACGTGAGTAATATCACGTCTGCGCCATTTTCAATCCATTCCCCCACTCCTTGCCCTCTCACCCATTTACCGCTGAGCTAAGAAGTAAGATAAACTTCTGAGCTCAGCGGTAAATGGGTGAGAGGGCAAGGAGTGGGGGAATGGATTGAAAATGGCGCAGACGTGAAAATACCTACATTTTTAGTGCTCTATTAATACATATGCATAAGAAAATTTATTAATTATCTAATGAAATTATTTCATTAAATATATGATCGATCGATTTTCTTATACACAATGATTTATTTATAAGATTTTTATGCAAGTTCTGTGGATACATTTTTATGCAATAAAATTTTCTTTCCACAAGTGTCAACTTGTTACGTTTAAAGTGAATCAGCCAATCATATCTCGCTTCTCTACGGATTAGACATCGAGTGCAATATTGCGGACGTCTGTCCAGAGATCTCGCGATTTTCACGCGTCATCGAATCGAGAGATCGCGAGTTGGAAGATTTGCAACCGCCGTTTATCCCTCTTTGTTCGCGCGTTTACCCACGATTCCATACGAGCAACCGTCGAGAGGCAGCGACCGGTTCGTGTGGTTCGTTGTTCGTTCCCTGGTTTCGGTCAGGTCTGATTCTCACTTCCTTTGCGGATCGGCTGCGTGACTACGAAGGTAAATGCAACGGTGATATCTTCGGATTTAGCACGCGGTGGCGAACAATAATTTCGTCATCGTATCTTCGCACGCGTATTTTTGCCGCGATGCATTTCTCGCGCGCGTACTTTGTCCCTCGTTCGCTTCGTTCTTTTTCCACGTTCTTTTTTACCCTCACGGCAGGCATTTTCAGCCGGATCCCGTCATCCCCCATGTGCACGTTTTTTCGTGTCTATGTCCTTGCGACTGATTTTTTTTTCTCCGCAGCATGAATAACGCAACGTGCAATTAGCGTTTTTAATTCTATCCCATTTGATATTGGTTCAGGTTCTTTTTGGCACCGCATTTTTTTGCGACGTGCGCGTAATTTATTTCGTCTAACTTGTATCTTCCGTTTCGCCACGATTGCCTTGAAATAACCTTTTAGGAGTCGATTGTGAAATGTCAGTCTTATATATAACTGATTTTTATTTTGTTAAAAGAATGTTGAACAATGCAAAATTCTAAATTTCTTCAATATGTGAATAACATAATTTATTCCTATCGAAACACTTAGCGAAACACTTGGTTTCATTTCTCAACTTGTATTTTGAGATCCAGCTTTGTTTTATACAGTTGTATTAAAACTGTAATTTTTTACAATCTTATTTTTTTACGCGAAGATTTATCTTAGCACATTTTGCAAGTATTGTGATAACACTTTGATGTACTTTCGCTATCTGAAAAATTCAATTATTTATGCTGATTTTTTGAATTTATTATCTGAAACAACACAATGCACTTATATATTTATTGATAACTTTACTTAAAGATGAATTTTCTCTGCTATCCATTGCGTACATATGTAATAATTTCATTATTTATGTGTCTGCAGTAATGTAACTTCTTATTTTTTATTTACCTCACAAGAATTTAATACCTGCTTTGTATTGAAGTGTCCAATTAATTGCTCTTTTTTTCTTATTTATTTGAACCCAGCAATGTACATAAACTTTTTGGCACCGCTTTAACAATTCAGCGAATTAGTATGGTTACATATTAAACTGTGTGAAATATACATACACAAAATTTTCAGTCTACGTAAAATTCAATCAAATTATGATATGAAAAAGGAAATTGCAATTATAAAGAGTTTAATAGTTTCAATTTGCGACCGTGAAATCGAATACTAAAAGCTTGTAGATGTATATAGTTGGCTGTAAAGATTAAGGTGAAAAATTGATAGCAACACATTTAAATTATAGTAATATGACAACCGATCCGGAACGCGCCGTGAATACTAGCGGTACGGAATCTGTCGAAGATGAAGACGAAAAAAATCATCGCAAAATTTTACGTAGCACTGATGTGTTAGCTGCTCTTCGAGATGGTATTTCTGCATCAGGATTAGAGGTATTGCAATATTATTTTGTTTCTCCTGTAAATATGTTTTCAGCACAGCAGACTGTGTACTATCAAGTTTATATAAATTGATTGATCTTTTGTTAAACGTGTAATGCAAAAATAATTTTCTGAATCGCATGTTTTGTAATGCTTGTTTGCTTCCATTTTATATACCGTTTAATTGACAAATTTTGACAGAATATTTTACATACTTATTGAATAATTGGTCGAATTATGGATATATTATCTATTTTGTTAATTCAAATAAAATTGCACAATTAATTTTATATTGCTAATTTACTTAAATTCTAAAAAATTAGTTTGTAATTTTAAAAGCTAATTATTTTTTATTATTAAAACTTAAAAAAAGACTTTACAAAGTACTCAATGATGTCTAATTTAATGTAAATCAAATATTTAAAAATGTTAAATACTAGTACGTTAAAAATATTAGCATATTATAGTATATATATAACATAGTTAAATGTTATAATTGCATCAAAGTTTTAGAAATGCAATTACATTTTTAGCAAATGCAGTCTCTTCCTGCTCCCGTCAAACGCAGGATTAAGGCACTGAAACAACTGCAGCTTGTCACCACAAATATTGAGGCTAAATTTTACGAGGAGGTCCATGCTTTGGAATGTGAATATTATAAAATGTGTGCGCCTTTATACCACAAGCGAAGTGAGATAATATCTGGTTCTTACGAGCCAACGGATGAGCAGTGTGTTTGGGACAGCGATGAGGACGAAGAAACGCTAAGTAGTCTCATGAAAGAGAAAGTAAAGATCGAGGACACTACAGAGAAGAAGGATGAGTATGTTTTCGTAACATTGTATGTCAACAATGTCGTAACAATAATTTATTTCTTATTAAGTTAAAAATAATTCTCATTTCTTTAATGAGCTATGGCAAACGTTCTTTATGATTCAACTACATATGTTTATATAAAAAATTTAAACAAAATTTAATACAAGTTTGTTATATAATTTTAGAACGGAAAACGATGATGATACTAAAGGGATCCCAGATTTCTGGCTAACAATATTTAAGAATGTAGGTACGTTAGCTGATATGGTACAGGAACACGATGAACCGATCTTGAAGCATCTACATGATATTAAAGTGAAATTCCTAGAATCGAATCCGATGGTAAGCCATGAGCGATATACAATAATAAAATAATGACTGGCAAAACAGTTAAACTAAAATTAATACATTTTTCTAGGGATTTATCCTCGAGTTTCATTTCACGCCCAACGAATACTTTTCTAATTCAGTGCTCACTAAAGAGTACATCATGAAGTGCACTCCGGAGAAGAATGATCCGTTCAGTTTTGAAGGACCTGAAATATATAAATGCAAAGTAAGACTTTTATTTAATCTATTTAGTTCGCACGTAGTTATACGATGCTAACATCGAGAATTTCTTTTGCAGGGCTGCGTGATCGATTGGAAAAAGGGGAAGAATGTTACAATTAAAACCATCAAGAAGAATCAGAAGCATAAATCCCGAGGATCTATGCGCACCGTTACTAAAACTGTCCAGAATGATTCGTTCTTTAATTTCTTCAATCCGCCAAATGGTAATTGATACTACATATGCGTCATTTCTTGGCGTTCAGTTTATAATTTATTTTGTGTAATTCGTGCAAATACTTTCAGTGCCAGAAGACTCGGAAGCCGATATAGACGAAGATACCCAAGCTTTGTTAACTAGCGATTTCGAAATAGGTCATTACATTAGAGAACGCATAGTTCCTAGAGCTGTATTGTACTACACAGGTAATCCCACGAATATATTATCATAATTTAATGAGTGTCGTGAATGCATTATGTCTGTTCAACTTTAAAGAATTATGAATACACGACGCATAAATATTTCAATGTCAAAATATATCAAAATATAATTAGAATATATTCGTACGTGTGTAAATATCTGAACAGTTAGCAGTAAGATACGCATTAATTCCAGGTGAAGGTTTGGAGGATGAGGATGAGGATTACGAAGACGAGGAGGATGGAGATGATGATGATGACGTCGATGAGGAGGATGAGGAGGAAGAAGGTTCTCCAACCAACGCGCCTTCAGGTGGGAAACAAGGCGACGATCCCAATGAGTGTAAACAACAGTAGAGTTACATATTAATTGCGACATAAGGGAAAAAAAATCAATCGTTCGTGCGTTACAGTATGCAACAACACACTAACGACACCTCTGACCGATAACTGCCTAGATAATCCTGCACCTTGCAGCTCCAAATGTAATCCCCACCATCATTGTATCAGCCATCTAATCATATCATATCTCCTATTCCAGATCAAGCATAGAACTCTTCGACATACCGATGATACAAAAAAAAACCCCCAAAAAAAAAAAGAGAATTGTGTACACCTTCCTTTTACTCGCCGTTGACGATGAGTAGAATACGCGCCTCATTATACCTGTGCTCTTAAGGTCTAACATCATAAGTATATAACAATTGCTCTCGTTCTCGAACACTATTATTGTCAATTTTTAATTGCTTCATTTTATACTACTTGTTATGTTTATATGCGCCGACAGAGGTTGTTTGAATTCTTTTTCGAGAAACGCACGTTGCTCTATGGACAAATTTTTGGGTACTGTTGAAGCATTTTTAATACAAAAGTGGAGAAAAAAAAAAGATCACTGTTTCAGCGTTTTATTCTTCCTCTTTATTCCTTCGTAAAGTATCCTTCCAAAGCGTCCGTAAAAGGAACGAATTTTTGGTATTATTTACAATTATATTATCATGCTTTTTCATATCTATGAAATTCATTCGTCCTATAAATTCGCGGAAACGCTCAATACGATTTTGCGTTAGGTCAAAAACGTTTTCGAATATTTTTAAATTTAAATATATTAACGTGGTATATAGAACGCACTATGTCAGATATATATGAAAATATAATATAAAAATTTGCATTATACATTTTCCACACGCTTTTAAATATCAATAGAGAGAAACGCCGGTGGCGTCGTAGAACCAGAAAGTGCGAAAAAATAACTTTTCGAAAATTTAGTTTCATTTTTACGAAACGTGCTCTTCGAAATTCAATAACGTTCCTACATTTTTTTTTCTAATTTCTAATGTATGCGACGAGACTTCGGTGAATTTTTTCCACAAACGTCCAATGTTTTAGCGCATATTTTAAAAATTAAAACCATTCACGTTTAAGCAACGGATACAATTCCAAGAAAATTCAAGTCTTCATGTTTACTCGACTATTTGAAACCATGGAACGGACCATATATAATTTACAATTTATGCAGAACTGAATGTGTATAATCACTTAACGGTGTATGATTCCATAACATTTTTTATATTTATATTTGAAATCGTATGAACATATTCTCATGCATGTCGGATTTGATGAACACCTAGGTATTTTGCGTTATGAAAATGCAATAATTATGCCGTGCAATATTGTACGTCAATATGATCGAATATATGCATCGTCAGAACACGTGTATTAATTATTGTAAATTTGTGATTGCATCACGGATAAATGGCCGTAGAAAGTCCACCTGCATTTGTAGCGTAGACGTCGTTGTGAAAAATAGTTTGACCAGGAGAAAATTGACAGTATAATCTTGCACAGCGTAATTTATGACTCTCGTATGATGCAATCTAAGGATACATATATGTAAAAGGCATCTTACTTCTAACAAGGCAAACTATGCTTCTGATTAATTACAATACCTAGAATGCTGTAAATAAATAACTGTACATGGACTGATCGAAATGTAGATGTAAACGTATAATTAATTTTGTGGAAATATCTCAAAGCCATTTTTCCATATTTGCCTATTTTTCTTTTTTTTTCTTTTTCCATCGTTAACCAGCGTATGTATCTAACCGTAAAATGATAATAAATACAAAATCGCTTTGCTTATCGATTTTTCTTATTAGTTTATTAATTTACTTGCAATCGATTTTAGCCGTTTGCGTGTACCGCGGGAGGCAGTGCTTATTGTCTTAACAATCCTCTAGAAAAAAAAAAAAATACTTACAAAAAGGCAATTTCTAGATAATGTGCAATTTTTTTCTAGAAAAATCTCGCACATTGATATAATGACAAAGTTCCAAAACAGTTATTAAAATTTGTGTTTGGTCACAACCCAAGCGCGGGCAATGATGCAAAATAACGTGCGACGAAGATAGGGACAGCCAGAGACAGTTTTGCTCTTGCAAAACACATCAACCAGATCAAAACAAGCTAACAAAAATCGATCATACGCTTTCCTTCTATATTGTAGGAATGGTAGGTTAGCCTTGCCCTGATTCCCTCCTTCATTTTCGATGTATAGAACCCCTCTATATGGAGATTCATTATTGATTATTTATACACAAGAAATCATTTTATTCTTGTGTTTGTCCAATATTCTTTACTAAGCACTTTCCTCTTCGTCATCGTCCTCGCACGATACCGCCTCGGTACTACGCGGCAACAGCAGAGATACATGACCGTATCTAGAAAGATTTCATGCATTAAGCACTTCAAACATTTCATTATTAATTTGAGAAGTGTACTCCACGAGACACGCAACAAAACAAAGAAAAACAAAGAAAAACAATATTTTTCGCATCGACGCTTACAGTATTTATTAGATTTTATTATGTATCAAGAGTGTGTGTAAATGTTTTTCCCTACTTACTTGCTGTTTCTGTATTTTTCTTGTATCGCTTGTTGCTGGATGTTGGGAGCATTGGAGAAGGTTCTGCTCAAGTGTGAAATACATTCCTTAAGAGTTTTCAGATCGTATCCTGTGGACAGTTGCAATTCATGCGGCCAGATTTCCTCTTGCAGTGTATGTCGCGCGAGCGCCACTGCGGATGCGGCCAAGTGGCTGGGCATGTATTGCAGATATGGATCTGCTTCGAGCATCGACAGTTCACACAAGTACTGAAATAACACACTAAATGTATTAAAAGGGAAGATTGCTTCCAAAAATATGAGAAATAATACAGACCTCTTAATCAGACATTGAATTATATGTCAGGTTGAAAAAAATACGTGATTTTTTGTTACATGTCGAAATAAATTAGTTTTCCATACGCCATAACTTATGGACGATAACATACAAGTCGCGAAAATACTACAACCATGTATTTATAAAGCTCACCATTGCTAAGTATCTGACTCTGTCCGACAAGTTATTGCTGATGCAGTATTCCATAATAAACGTGAAATGCGTCGGTACAGTTAAATCGAACGATAACACTCTCAATAACAAATTCTCCATTTTTATCACATGCGTCTTCGAATATGTATCATCTGTGATATATACAAATTCTCCTACGTCGGGTGGATAGATCTCCTCATATTTTCTATTAAAAATATATATATATGTCACAATCATAAAATAATTTTTTAAATCTTACTCAAACAATCGTAATGGACAGTTCGATCTTTCATATGTGATTATTAAGATAAACTCACGCAGCAATAAACATTGCAGCAGTTCCAACAAGTTGCAACTTTGATCTTACAACACTCATATACGATAAAAAGCGATCTATATATGAGATAGTCAAGTACAGCGTCTCATCTTGCAATCGATATTCTTCCGCTACTTCGACAAGCCAATCCACCAATATAGATCTCATCGTGTACGTGATGTCAGGCTGTTTCTTCATATAGCCAGGTTTTGGTCTATGTAATGTCTGAAAAAAAGATTAGACCAAACACTAAAACAAGTTTTAATATTAACTCTTAGAGTTTCTCCTGGCGCGCGCGCGCGCGCGCGCGATAAAGGCTTTATATTAATATAGAATTAACTTTAATTCTTTGCACTGAGAGTTTTTTTACTATGATTGATAACAACTCCAAGACATTTTGTAAGATTAAGCTTCTGAAGATTAAAAGTAATATTTTTCGAAAATAAATTTTATAAATACTTGTAATTCAAATTTTATCCATTTATTTTGTTGTTATGTAAATTACACCTGTTGCTGTAGTAGCGCCAGTGAGGTGCAAAGATTTATTTTATCATAATAAAATCATAATAAAATTAAAATAAATTTCTAATTTATTTAAACAATGTATAATACTTCATTAAATAAAATTTTACTTAGTTTTTACTTCAATATTAATTTAGATAAATTGACATAAACAAACAAGATGCATACCTCTGTTACACGTAAATAATTATATATATCAGCCCTGTATTCGTCTACATCAAAGAAGTTAATTCTCATTTCCTTAAGAGATTCTCTTCTGTTTCTGTACTCATTCTTCCCTTCATTGGAAGAACTGCTATATGTCAGAGACTTCTCCAATGACATCCCCAAAGACATAGGACTATCTTTCGAAAGAGTATCATCCTGCTTGCTTTGATAGATTTCCTCGATGCTATTACGAAATTCTGCAAGACTAGAGGCAGCCATAGTATCTACTTCTAACCTAGGCTTTTCTCTATCAGATTTTGCTACTGTTTCTTGCACAGCTTTTGTCTCTTTCTTTTCTGTTAAATCCCTAAGCATAACAGATGTCTCTTCTTCCAATTTGTCTTCATAAATCTTGAAGACAGGTTCTTCCTTTTTGTCTCCATGAATCTTAAAGACCGTCTCTTCTTTTTTATCCTCATAAATTTTGAAAGTTTGTGTGGATATAAAAGGTTTCGTTTTGATATACTTCTCATCCTTGCAGATCTCCTGCTAAAAAGTAAAAAAAAATCACATACAGTTTATAATAAAGTCTCAGCATTTAATCTTAAGAAATTTTATAAGTCATATAGCAATAATAAGTATTCAATACAATATTAAACTTTTTAGAACAATCAATAATTTAAATCACAGCAATATGCAAATTTATTCACTCCTATGAGTGCAGTGCATTGAAATTTGCGATATGAAAATAATATGAAAGATCAATGCTGAATAACAATTTAATGTAAATATCGTAACTTATATTTTCATTTTTCGATTTATTTCAACATTTATACTGTATCAGAATTCTTTGGAAAATCAGTTAAGGCACAAGTCATTATTTCGAGGTAAGGAGCACGGATCAAGGACAAGTAATGCGCGTAAGATATACGTACCGATTTCGCTCCATGTCCTGCACAATTATTGTGCAAGACACCGAGGACAGTGCGTTTGGTTTGTTGCAGCGTTTGCGTGTTCCCATTCGTGACAAGGTTCTCTTTACCGCGGCCGCGAAGGTCGGCGGCAATGCGGCTCTTCTGTTCCTCTTGGTGTACCCTCATCGTGGCCATTGTACCTGGGCACGCGACCAAGTCGTTTGTACGAAAAAAAAAAATCAGTACACAACGCTGTATATCGTAGGATCAGGATCGTGTCCTCCCCTGTCGAGACGACACACGGGGTAAGAAAAACCGTTTTAGCCGAAAAACAACGAGTGCGCGCCCGACCCGCTTTCTCCGTGTGGCGCCACGAAACCTCGTAGTCTCGATCGCCTTAAAATCGCTCGTACATGACAGAGATCCGCGGGAAATCGGACGCGCACGACACGACAACCAACTTCGGTTGCCGTTTGATTTCAAACAAACGTAATTCCGACAGCTGGCGGGACGTTACGGAAAGCGTTGTGCGAAACCAGCCAATGATGGGCGTGGGAAACACGCTGGCCAATCACGATATCATTTGTTGGCTTATGCGTTCGTAAAGACATTTTTTCTTAACGTAGGCGCGCGCACGCTTTTAAAGAACCAAAATTCATAAAAATATTTGCGGCTAGTTCAGTCAGATGAGTGCGTTCGGAAGTGTAAATGATTTCTGCGTTAATAACATTTAATGCTGGCTTTGAGAAAAAATTTTAGAACATTGCTAGTGAACAAAAGTTATAAAAGTATATCCACACAAACTTGCGTAATCAGCTTTAAACGGTCCAATAACACGTGGGAGTCATAAAGTCCATATCAGACTACGCATTGAAGATTGAAATTTGACCAATCGAGACAAAAGGAGCTAAAAGTTCTTCGTCCTGATTGATCAAATTTCAATCTTTAATGTGCAGTCTGATACGAGCATAACGGAGCAACTATGATTGTGCTTTTCGGTTGTGTTTATGAACACCTATCGATATATCATTAAAACGCCCACGGAGCAGTCGACATTTCGTAAATCTTGTAGTCAAAGTTATCGTTTTTTTTCATGTGCTGTTCTTCACTTGGTGCCGCTCATCGATGCAACACGTGTGACTGTGTTTTACTCGTTTGCATTTGAACGAAACGCGTTGTGATAGTTCTCACAGCGCAATTTCGGTTGCGCGTTTCAGTGAATTCTTCGATATACTTCGCGTGCGCATTGCGTAGAGCAGCGTGGTGGTTTGTAATCTAGTGCCGGACGAAGAGATCAACGATTGTGTCGTGAAAGAAAGTCAGCTGCGCCGCTAATCTCACACGGAAGGTATTCTTCTGCAGTGAAAGAACTGGCAAGAAAATGAGCCCGTTGAATAATAGAGGACCTCTTATGGGGTCCAGAGTGCCATCGGCCGGTTTGCGTTCGCTCCCACCGCCTAGATTCGGTAACAGAATCGCATCATCCGGCATGCCAATGCGGATGCCACCGCTACATCCGCTACTACCAATATCGGCGTTCGGTCTGGGTGGTTACAGAGAGCGGTTACCGCCGCCACCGCCGCCGCTTAGACCTGGTGGTGGTTTATCGCGACCTAATGGCATGCTGCCACTGTATCCTAGCGGTCATAGATCGTGCGGCATGGCACCCATTCCGCCGCCGGTCAGACCACGTGGTGTACCGCATGGACCTTTCATGCCCTGGTCTCGAAAAATGTTATCTCCGCAAATGATGCCACCTATGAGGCCCAAGTACACAGCAAGCAATGATACCAAAATAAAGGCGACGATTACTGTAAAGAAGCCCAATAAGGAAGTATGTATTTCTTATGCTAGCAGCCGTTGTTTATTACCCTGGTGAAAAAACATAATAATTTCCTAGAAAATTCTAAGAATTTTTCATAATTTTATTTTATGAAAAATTCTAAGAAAAATTTTTATTATTCATATTTTTAAAACATTTTTTAGAAAATTATTTAAAAAAAAAAAAAAAAATTAAATTAGTCGGGAGTTTTAAGATTACGGAATCTGATGTAATAATGTTCGATAGCTGTATAGCTGCAAGCGTTATAATAATAATTATTATGAAAATTATTTTTGCCAATAATATGTTATAATTACAATTTATATTTTATAAGCGGTTTTTATATTTATTATGTATAAAATGTAATAAATTCAATATTTGTAATTATTATATATTTTTTATAGAATTTTTAAATGTATATGTATGCGAGTATGTGTTGTAATAAGGTATATTTTTCTGTATTCTATTTAGCAGAATATTTCTAAAAAAATTTACGATTTATCAGCTTCCATATTTTGCCCTGCCTTTGAGTACATTTCATTTAACGGTACAAATTAACGCAAGTATATATTTCTATTCTATCTTTTTCATTGGATGTCAAACACAGAATAAAACATGTATTAACATGTATGTTAACGTGACATTCTATGTTCGATATCTACTAGAAAATAAATATAGAATAACACGTTTTTACATTGCTAAATGAAATGCATTCAAAGATAAGGTAGAAAAATAAAAGCTGATAAATTGTATATTTTTCAACTTGTAAAAATATTTGATATTTCTAAAGGCCTGTGTCCACGATGCAAGAAATTGGTCCAAGTTCTTGGTCCGAGAAACGTATAGCCAATTAAATTGAAGTTCTTATGGAAAAACAGCAAGAGTTGATTGGTTACACATTTCTTGAAGCAATCCAACCATTTTGGGCCAAGAACTCGAACCAATTTCTTGCATCGTGGACACGGGCTTTAATATATACAGATCTGGAAAATTGAGAAATAATGAATTTATTCATATATTTTCATATATTTTCATTTCTTTTCTGAAAAGTGTGTTAATTCATATAAAAAATCTTAAAATTTTCTGAAAAAGTTATAAAATTTTTGTAAAAAATCTGAAAATTTTTATGAAAAATTCTGAGAATATTTTTCACCAGGGTAGATTGTTTAAAATTGCTTTTTTGTATCATTGAGTTATAAGATCTGTTCTTTATAGCTGAACTGGCTGCACTAGTTCAGCTGAAAAGAACAGACCTATAATAACTTGATTATGGTAGTCTTCAAAGCAATTTTAATACTTTGATGAACACATATTTCATGCAAGTACTTTCACCTGCCATTGGTATTTTTCATTTAAAAGTCACATTTACATAATGTGACTGAGCTAACAAAATCATGCATATGTGAAAACAATTATCAAAGTGTTAAAAGCTTTATATTTGATTTTGCCTATTATGTTTATTCAGAGAAGAATTTATAAAATTGTAAATATTTTTGATAGTAATATATCTTTGTTATTATAAATTGTGATGACAAATTTGTATAAAACTATTGGTTTTTTTATAAATTTAAATTCTAGAAAGTTTTTATATTTATATTATTAGTATTTATGTTCCGACATTTAAATCTGACTGAGAAATATGATTATTTAGGTAATAGAGTTAAAAAAGCCATGGATGACAGATGAAATTCGCAACGAAATACAAAAGAAAAATAAACTGTATGCCAAAGCAAAAAAGAGTAAAATTTTAGCAGATTGGACAGAGTTTAAGGATATGCGAAACAAAGTAACCAAAATGATAAGAGAAGCTAAAAGTGATTATGTTGCAAAACATCCTGAACAGGTATTTCTTTTGTCTTTGTTGTGTCTGTAACAAATTTTAATCGTTACAAATTTTTAAATACTTTCAGAAAAAATCCATTATATTATTGTAGATAAATTTATTCTCTTTTTACTAACTTGGCCATTTTGCATGATAATTTTATATCTGCTATCGCTTGATGCTGCTTTTCGTTTTTTATTTATTCTTTATCTAAATCTTCTGATGAATTTATTTATTATTATTTTAAAATGTGGGTAGTTATAAATATACATGTGTATGTGCATGTGCATAATAATTTTATATGTGTACAAACAAATCATCACATAAATGAGATTAATTTATGCAATAGTAATTCTTTATCCGAACAATAAAGCTCGTTTTAATTAAAAAAAAAAAAAAACTTCAAGTTATAAATTGGTACAGTAATAGTCTATTTTTTAATATTTTATTCTGGGAATAAAAGCACCAATTAACTTTTCTAAGAAATTTAAATTAAGTGGAGATTGTAATTTTTCTAATATTTTATTGGATATAAACAATTTCTCTATTGACATTAAATATGATGATAATAAACTAATTAAATGATGTAATGCTTAATCTGTAAGAGCAGTATGGGTTAACGCTTTTAGTGTACCAGCTGCATTTCTAGAGGAGTCATGAAATGTTTACCATGCATTTTAAAATTTGATTTTTTCAACACAACACAAAGTTTGTATATTATATATATTGTTTGCTCTCGATGACGGATGAAAGGTGTACAATATAAATTGATAAGACAAAACACCGAAACAAGTTGATAAAAAAAATCTATAATTACGAAATACTAAATTGATTTTAAAGATATGATAGTATATGATGAAAAGCCGACCTTGTTCCATTTGACAATGATAGATTACTTTGGTTTTACAGGACACCGAAACAAATTCAAATAAATCCGAGGGTGTTCAGAAAAATACTGAACAATCAAAATCACCAGATCAAACGGAGGAGACGCAGCCTTCCAGCGAACAGACACAGTCTTAAAGCTTTAGGCTACTCCTCCTATAAGAATTATACAATTTAAATGACAGCAGAAGCATTCTGTTTTCAAACTTCAGAACGATTTACTTCTTATGTTTTTATACTATTAAGTAAATTCTCAAGTCCTATAACATCTTAACTGTGACATTATCCTTCCTCTTTGTCTTCCTTTTTTTTCATTAATTTTGCAATATTATATTCATGCAATACATTTTGTATCATTTATATCATAAGTGTCTGTTATTTAAAACTATACTGATGAAGATAAGTTTGAAAAAAGCAGCATCTATTAGCTAGAACAATGATTGTTTAGTACTTTAGGTGAACCAAAGTAGAATTGATGATTTGTTAAATCTTTTTTTTATATCTTTTTTATGTGAAAAACATGTATACTCCAATAATGTATAGTTCGTTACATAAACTTGTGTAATATGATTGTCTGAATTAGCTGTAATCCATTTTCATCCGATTTGAAAGACTGATTTGACCAGGCTGTTAATGGATAAACTTTTTTGGAAATCTCTTAGGATTTATAGCCAGTATACAGTGCTGCAAGCCATAATATACTTAGAAATACTAATGAAATTCTGATATCTAAACAGTGGCATAAAAATAGATGAAGACCTTATTGTAATTAATATGTAAAATGTTTACATATATAAAATGTTAATTTACATATGTAAAATGTCAAAAGAAAGTCTAAAGTAGCTTGTGGCTCTGTTAGATTAATAGCACTTTTACATATAATTATGACTATATGTGTCACATCTATGATATTCTTGTTTATTTCATGACTTTCAGGAGACATAGAGCAATATAAAAAAGAAAAACAAATTTGTAATTCAAATGCATATTGTAAGAATAAATCATATTTCTGTAAATTCTAAATCTGGTGTGTTTCCCATCATTCTATCATTATGAAACACTGAGAGAAGATTGATTTCATGTGTTAAAACAATCGTTCTGAAATATGAAAATAATCTTTTGTGATTTTTGCAATGATTTATGTTTGAATATTGATTAAGTAGCCATTAACGCATACTTATGCATAAGTCATACTGATATAAAATTGTAAATAGAAATGCGTTAACATTGTTGACGTTTGTAGCATAGAGAAACATATTATGACTGTACAAGCTTTATTTTACAATTATGTACTCGTATGAAACGATTAAGCTCTCACAATTAACGCACTACGTACACGCAAACGGTACAAGTGTATGCTTGTGTTACATTGCTTGTATGCTATGTAAAAATGGTTAATTAATATTTCAACAAAACATGCGCAAATTTGCATATTTATCTAAATTTATCTGAAAAAGGAGGAAACAGCATTGAAAGGAAGATGCTATACGTCAGAGATTGAATTTCTGAATACCCTGGGCACATAATTCCAACTGTTTTGTACAATAATTATTTATTACTTGATAAGAAGATAATTGTAATAGATGCATAGTGTGTGCACGAGATCACGGTACCTGCTTATCGAAGATATGAAAAACTTATTAAACAAATTAGAAAAATTTTATAATAAAACTTGAAACCTAGAATTGACAAGTAACAAAATAAACCTGACAATTTATGTGATTGTACGCCGCGAGCAAATAAGTTTGTACCAAGATCTTCGTGATTTATGAAAACAATTTAAGTACCGATTTTTAGGCTCATCAATATCCGATTGACGAAGAGCCGTATGATCAGAGAGACGAAAACTCTGTGAGTACCGACGAGGAGACGTCTTATTGTTGCGAAATATGCGACAGGGATTTTCCAACCGGAGATGCTCTCTCTGAACATAATAGCACGCATGTAACGTGCGGCATTGATGGATGCACGTTTACGGCGTATTCCCAGCTCGTTGACAAGCACATCAATATGCAACATCTTACTGGTTTGTATCAAAGGATGAAAGATTTGTCGACGCCGGAAGATATCGAGAAATGGATAATCGAGCGTAAGAAGTAAGTTGTATCGATTGATACATCGTGCATTAATAAAGAATACAAGTGCGAAAAATATACATTTATTGAATGTTACAACAGGAAGTACCCCACTGAGGCTAACATAAATTTGCGTAAGGCGGAAGAGTTAGAAAAGTCGCAAAGAGGAGAGGTGATCAAGCAGAGATCTTCTAATGTACAAATGAAATCAAAGATTGCACATAAGCGTGAGAAAAAACGCCGCAAACGCCTTACACGTGCTGCACGCGACGCCAAGAATATCGATTGTACTTGTACAGATGAAACGTACAGAGGCATACGTCCTTTTCGTGGAATTAGTAAGTTATCAGAATGTATTGATAAATTATAGCGGAGATAATTCCGCTTATTAAAATATAGAAACTGATATTTTAATTATATATAATTAATTTAATTATAATACTTATAAAATTAATTTCTATTAATCAATAGAAATCTAAATTCTTATTTTATTACATTTTGTGTAAAATATTAAGATAAAATTGATTTTCTGCTACAATTATTATTTATATTCCAGTTTCGGATGAAGAAAATGATGAGGAGTGCTCAGACAATGAAACGATGCAAACAAATTTGTCTGAAAAGATTACTGGTTATATTTCAGACGAGGATGATATACCACAAGCATCTGAGACACTGAAACAATGCGACGCTAATTTGCCTAGCACTAGTGCGCCTGTATTATCTACTTTAGTAGCAGATTACAAATCTGGAAGTGAATCAGATGACGGTAAATATGCAGGCATTAATACTTATTAATATACTTGGATATATCTCTTGTCTATTTATCATTTATATTTTTTAATACACGTGGATATCTCAAAACGTGTATATAATTAACATTTGCAAGTTGTTTAACCTCTTGAATATTCATATATGAATTTTTTAATGTATACTAACTTTATTTTTATACGCAGGTCCAGAAGAAGTGCCGGTGAAAAAAATAAAAATGAAGGACCCTCGAGATGATAAAATAACAGAAAATATAGTTTCTAAAACAATTTCTAGTCAAGTTTGCGAAAAAAGTTCTGATAGAAAATTGCGCACAGATGCAGATAATAGATCGAATAAAAAAGTCGCTGCTAAACACGACAAACAAAAGCAAGAAATAAATCAAGCAGCGATTAACAATAAAAATGAGAGGATTTTTCATAAATATCATAACAAATTATTAGAAAAATTGCTCGCGCGTGATATACAACATGAAAGAAATGTAATTTGCCAATGTATGAAATATATCATACAAAACAATTTTTTCGACTCGAATTGATCTGAAATAATGATAATAATTTTGAAAAATAATGTTCCTGAAATAGAATAATTATGAGAAGTTGTTGTTTGAGAAAATCTCTTGTTAATTATAAATATATAATCGCGTTGACTACCTCATTTTAAATACAAGGTACGATGTATCATCTTTAGAATTTTTTAAATACACAGACGTAAAAAACCTTATAGTTATAAAAAGTTATGATGTTATATTATGTGCTATTTTTGATAATTTAGAAGGCGAAATGTTTGTTTATTAATAAAGCATATTTTAATTATAAACATGTTAACTGCCTATATTTGGTTCAGATTTTATACATAACTTATGTAAGTTAAATAACGCATAAGAATCTGAGAAAAAACATGCGAAAAAAAGAGATCACTTGTATAAAATTACATCGATTACATCTTTAAAGAATGTCTCTTTTTCTTTTTTGTACGTTTTTGATCAGGTTCTTGTATGTTATCACTTTCTGTCGGTCTCTTTTCACCAGTCTTAACAGAGATAAGACTTTTACTGTGCTTGCCTGACAACGCACTGGTCCATTCCACTTCCGACCCCTTAATAGCGTACTGCCCCAAATTTTCATTCTTCAGTTTCTCTAATTCCGCTTTCTGTTTCACCTTCAGTTCCTGCAATATATATGTATATGATGTTATTTCAGCGTCACAGGACTGCAAACTTTTCTGGGAATAATCAAAACACGAACCTTTGCCGCGGTTTCCAATTCTTCGCGTAAATTCTGTCCGCCTAAAGGATCCACTTTCACGTCTTCGGCGATCAATTCTTTGGTCAACATAGTACTCTCGACGTATTTTTCCGCAACGTTGTTGAAATATTGGGTCGATTTGCGTATTATACGATTTAACAAACCGAGTAACTGCGGATGTGGTAGATTTAATTCTTCCGCCAGCTTGTCGACGGTTTTATGTTGCAAGCCCAAGCCGAGTAGAATCGCCTAAAAATATTTACATAATGTTATGTCACTATAGCTTCAAATGTGACATAAACAATTCAAAATATTTTACCGATTGTGCTGCTGAGAAATGAGTGTCTCCCATCATGTTTAAGAAATACAGGCGTGCCAACGACGGTAATAAATCCATAATCAAATGATAATCTGCCATGTTGTTGCTATACATTTGTAAACGTTTTAGGTCGTACGACGTAAAATAAACGTTCAATGCTTCCTTGCTCAATACTGAAACGAAGGTTTATTTATAATGCTTGAATCTTTCGCAAACGTTAATCAAGCAAATCTTAATTAAAATAGATTTTACAGCACACGAGTAAAAAAAATCAGTTTTCTTAATAAATTAATAATATAGTTACACTTACTGACAGGTTTCAAAGACACCGTCTTGTTAACTAGCACACTCAATGCGAGTGACGCGGGATACGCGTTAAACGAAAAAGAGAGCAGATTTAAGAATCGTCTGCGGAAATCGCTCCAGTAAGCCGGCAACCACTTATCGTTATCTTGCTCCGCATTAATTTTGCAAAGCATTATGCAAGAATGCTCTCCCGTTATATCATTCGCGGTTTGTCTAAAAAATAATGTGTCAAAAATTAGTTAATTTTTACGCCGATTCACAAGATATCTTTTGCTGGTACGCGTACCTTAAATATACAGGAACGAAATTGGCCCGCTTCCAAAATTTCAACAGCTGTTCAGTAACTCCGAAAGACACACCGACGTAATCCAAGTGCTCTGGACGTCTCTCGTTCAATTTTAACAAGAGCGGCGGTAGCGAACTCCGAGGTTCTGTAAATGATAAATAGAGCAAATATTAAACATTGCTTAAATCGTGTTAAAAAATGTTTTTAGAGTAAAGTTTTATTAGCAGTTTTATTAGTAAAATAAACTCTACGTATTTGCGTAAAATAGATTACCAATAGTTTCTTCTAATAAACCGACTGCTTCGTCAGGAACATTTTTTATTTCGGTAACTGGCTCTTGTGCGACGTCTTCGTTGATATTAGGTATTTTCATCTCGTAGTACTGCTTCAATAATTGCAGTGCACGACTACCGTATCCCATCTGCAATCATTAGGTTCTTGTTCAGTAAAATTGGATAATTTAAAAAAAAATGTATTGACAGATTGAGAAGGAATATGTACCCCGTGGTAGTCGGGATGCGTGGCAATCCGAACGATACGCGCGCCAGATAATGCTGGAAAATCTTCATCTTGGTATTGCTGAGCAATCGTCCACGGTATTAGATCGCCAGCCGCTCTACGACCCCGCGTGAGACCTTCGTTTATGCTAGTTTTGCTAACTTCGCCTTCTAAGCAGACCTATTAAAAAGAAATTTGTTAGACTTCTACATAGAATAAATAATTTAGTTACCAAAAGTTATAAAAGAATTTGCTAGACAAATCATGAATTTGTTTGGGCATGCCATTTTTCTTCCGGCATAGTTCGATAGATTTCATTATTGTACTTACTTGAAGAACAACTAATATTTCAGGTAAAGTCTTCTTATTGGAATCTACGGGCCCCAAGAGACAGAATAGATGATGCGCAGGAGCATCAGACATCATTTGCAAATCGTTAGGAGTATTCTAAAATATATAATCAATAAGTTATTAATATTAAAATATTTTATAAAAATAAAATACAAAATGCAATCCAAAAATAACGCATGCATTCTTCCTGTGATTTTTGCTTGGTTTTCACGCATAAATTTTGGATTGCACCACATGCATATTTTCATATTAAAAAAAAAGAGAATACAATATTTACTTTATAATGTGATGCAACATACAAAGAGACCAGCCTCTGTAAGAACAACTCAGAAGCTTTGTGGTAGGAGAACAAAGTATCCCTGTGAAAAATCAAAACATGTATAAACTTGATAAATTATAGACTTGAAAGATGCGTTCAATCGTTACTCAAAAATACCTGTTTATGTAATATAATTGACAAATATCGGGAGGAGGACATCCAGACAGAACAGGTGCATGTGTCGTAACATCTAGGCAAAGCAAGTCGCACAACCATCGTTCAACAGAGTCACCAGGCTTGTAACGTATCGATTCATCGAGAGTCATCTCGTGCAGCTGCCTTCCGATAAGAGTTTTTTCATTCTGCTCCTTTTCGCTTTTTCCATTGTGACTATTTGACCCAGCGGTTTGCGTTCTCAACTGATGCAGCAATTTGAGCGACAAAGACCGACCCGTGCCTTCGTATCTTTAAATGTTAACGAAAATTATTACATAATTTTATTATTATCCCAAAAAAACTTTTCAAGTTAAATGCTTTACCCGTTTATGGTTGATGCGAGAAATATTAGATAAGGTCCAAGCATGGCTTTTACATAAGGCAAAGGAATCGCTGCCGCTTCATCGATCACAAGTAGCTCCGCTTGATTCAATTTGTGAGTGTCCGTTGGATGTATATACTATGCAAAAAGTAAAAAAGATTATGCGTTATTAATTTATAATTTATAACGGTAAGTGTCTAGATATTTATAGAATTTTATATATTTTTTCTTATATTTTGAATTGTTTATAAAATTTTTGACAAAGTTACACACCTGAATCGTTTGGCGGTGATCTCGAAATACATTTACGCGGACAGTGGCTTTGTTGAACTCTGGATTAGTGGATTGCACTAAACCATAATCAAGATGTTCCTGATATCCCAACGCATCAAATCCTATCGATATACATAGTTTATACATGTTGGAAATGTTTCACATTTAAGCGATAATTATCAAACGAACTATTTTATTTACCTTTGAAGACAAATTCAAAGAGAGTGTTCAAGTTCTCCGGACTGGGGCTCGAGATGTATATATTAGAGTATCCGAAAGTAATAGCTCCGGCAATGGCAAGTCCCAATGCAGCGGATTTACCGCGTCCTCTAGCTGCGGTCAGCGACACGGTGGATCTCAAAGTTTTTTCGGAAATACACTCGATAAATTTGAGAACTGCCTTCGCCTGAAAATATATTAAAATTTTAATTGTAATCTTGTATTGAACAATTCTCAGCAATTGAATCGTCCAATAAATTACCTGGTCAACCGTCTTGCAACAATTAATTAATGAGGATACGTGTTGAGTGTCTTGCAGACTCTCCTTTAAAACATCTAAACTCGATTGTTCCTCTGAAACATCTGATTTATGCACAGGTTCTATCCTCAGATTGTGAGAAGATAAAGGTAATACATTCAGTTGATCATCGACAACCAAACATCGAGTACAGGAAGCCAGAGATAGCAAGAATCTCTCGTTAAATCGGCATATTACATCCTAAATTGATAAAATGAGTAGTGTTATGGTATCACACATTGTAACAAATCCATTTACAAAATAGCATATTCATACTTTATGAGCTTCCGTGCGAAATCTCTGATGGACATCCATGTTCAGTGTATACAATTGCTTTAAAGAATTCATAGATTGCAGCAAAAGTACAATGACTCCACCACCCTCGACTGTTTCAACGGTACGTGCCAATAAATTTGGCGTAATTGCTTCAAAATCCTGAAATTATAAAATATAATATTAGGCCAAGGTTAATCAATATGTAAGGAAAAGCAAAATGTATACACACCTGTAATATACACATGCCATACGTGTTACCTAATATTTTATGTGTTTCATTATAATAACAATAGCGAATGTTAGTTGATATAACAAACAATTCAAATGGATCATCCTCGTTAACGTCTAATTTGCCTGATTTGATTTTTTTCTGCAAAGACTTCATTCGTTTCTTTCTGTGACTACTAAAACCCAAATCCTTTTTGTAACACCACAACACAGAAGGTCTAGCCTTTACAACTGTCTTGGACAACATGTGGTGCAATAATACAACCTGAAAGAAATAGTTTTTTTACAACTAATATAAAGTGAATTTATAAAAGAAGTGAAAATATATAACTATATATTAATATATAGACTGTAATAATACAATTTGCATATAATAATTAACAACTTAATTAATGTACAAGCTGTTTTAACAAGCCAGAATGTTTTTTAATTGCAGTAATTGCTATTTTGTTAATTGCAATAACTGCAATGGTAAGAGCATAAATCAACGTTATAAATAAATATCTAAAAATTATTCTGTTAATTAATTTTCGAATTTATTTTACATACAATATTTACATATAAACATTTTCAGACAAATACTTACTTGATCTCTCGCTTTCTCGCCGACGACGATAAACATCGTTCTGTGTCCCAAAGTGACACCATTTTCTATCAAAACTCTTATGCGGTTGTCTATCTTTTTGCGAACCATTTTACTAAAAATATTTATATTTATATATTTTTAATATTGATAAACTTATTTAACCTCAAAATCTCAGCCACGCGCAAGCAAACACATGCGAGTTCCGCGCTGCTCCGTGCTTCGGCTAGCTTCAGACACCATCAGACATTAGAAAAGAGCAGACATACTATTTCTGTCTCCTTTCTTATGCTTCATTTTAAAGTCATCACACGTAAAAAAGTGTAGTAGTAAACGTAAGGCAAATCGACCAATCACAGCGAGCAGTAATGCAAATCACTGAAGAGACCACTTAGGTCGTACTCTCAGTTGGTTTCTGAACGGCGTTAGTTGGTTGGGTGCTCCCGGGTGTAGTTTTTGAACGCAACCAAATGATGGGAAAATGTAGGTTATAATACCACTCGGTACGTGATATACGCGATGAAGCGGATTGATAAACAATACACGATGTAGTTTCGAGAATGAATAAAAAGAAATTGAAATATACGATTAAGTTAGACGATTATTTTTGACGTGTTAATATCGACAAAAAAGAATATTCCGGTTAAAGCAGTTTTCGGTTCGCTTCTCTCACATTTTGTAGCTTTTATTTATTCGCAGTCTCGAATTGTTAATTTTGAATCATGTATTAAAGAGTTCTTTACTGTAAAATTCATCTTTATAATTCCTATGTAACTTTATAATTATTCTCGTGAAGAAATACAATGATTCGAGAAGTTCTGTTCACTTTGTAAGTAATTACAATTGATGGATTATGTGTTCTAATATTTTAAATCATGTTATTAATTTTTATTATGTATTAATATGTACGGGAAGCTAACATTTGAAGCTCACTCTTCAATACGAAAAATGGTAGAAAAGATTCCACTGCGGAAGACCATCGCTCGATTGGATTTCCCAGCGATTATAAGTTTCGGCAATCCCCTGTTGGATATTTATGTGGTATTGAAGAATGATGAGTTACTTAAGAAGCACAATCTTACAGTGGACGGTGAGACTGAGCTATCCGAAAAGAAAATGCAGGAGTTAATCGCCGATTTACCACCAGAGTTAGTGAATATAATTGCTTAAATATAAGTTTGTATTATAAAATCTGACTTTATAAAAAGCTTTTGATTTGTAGTACTTTGTGTGTGTCTAGAATATGTTTAATATTCTTTTTGTTGAGAAAATTCTTTGTTTATATAATGATATGGTATAATCAATCAAATTGTAAAAAAGTATTATTTATATAATTTATTTATAGAAATTTAATGGACTTTTATGTATAAAAAATCACATATAAACATGTTATGCAGAAAATATATAGTGCAAGCATCAATACCCTAAGCTTTTATTTGTATTATATTTATTTACAAAGTAATATATATGTATAATGTGAGAGTTATATTGAGTAAATATATTATTTAATAATTTCATAATCTTTTTATCAAAGTTATTTAAGAAAATGATAAATTTTAATAACGATAATTGAATAAATAGGTTACTAGATCAATACAACCACTAATGCTTGTATTTAACAATTCTGATTTGATAATTATACAAACGTTTTGGTCGTTTTATTCAACCAATTTTAGTGTTTAAATCTTTTAAATATGAGAAATTTTTATGCTTTTTAGAACAGAACAAAATACATATCCTGGAGGATCTGCACAGAACACAATGAGAATTTTGCAATGGCTTTGCGACGAAACTCGTGAATTTCAAGTCGGTACTTTTTATGGTGGTCTTGGAAATGATCATAAAGGTTCAGTTTTAGAGAAATTAGTTCGACTTGCTGGAGTGGATGTAAAGTACGTAATTGTATCATATGCACAAAAAGCATTATTGCAGAATAAGATAAATTTAATTTATAATATTTTGGATATTTTAGATATGCCGTGCATCCAACTCTACCTACTGGATTATGCGTTGCGCTAGTGCATGATACATCCCGTAGTCTTGTTGCAAATTTAGGTGCAGCTAATGTATATACACTAGACGACCTGAAGAAGACCAATTTGCAATTGGATACTGTAAAGATAATTTACATTGAAGGATATTTTATAACGCATAGCTTAGATGTAGCTCAGGAATTGGTCAAGCAAGCGCGGGAGAAGAATATTATTATAGCATTTAATCTTAGTGGTTTATATATATTCCAGGTATGTATTAAACAATGTAAAAATTATGTATTATATAAAAAATAGCACGTGTTAGCTATAGTAATGTCAATATAACTTTTTTTTAAATTTATGATTTAAATAGTGAATACATTATTAATTCATGTGATTTTGTTTTATTTTTGAAGGATCATCATGCAGCAATCTGTGAAATGGTCGGCAACGCCAAAATCGTGTTCGGTAACGCGAGGGAAATGATCGCGTTAGCACAAGCGTTGAACGTGAAATACAACGATGTCACTGATATACCCTTTTTACTGAACAGTTTAAAAAGGATCACAGTCGACATTTCTAGCGCTAATAGCAAGGATTGGTTAGCCGAAGACGGTATATTTATTATGACGCGCGGTGGATCTGCACCGGCGATTATCGTGTGGGGCAAAGGACAGTCCGTTCAGGTTTGTTTTAATCGAGACAATATATAAACGCGTGCGATAAAAAAAATGGATTCTTTCATATATATTTATTTTATTCAGGTGACGCCTATTACGCCGAAAGCACCTATTATGGATACAACGGGTGCTGGAGATGCTTTAGTAGCTGGCTTCTTAGCTGGTGTTTTGGCTCACTGGGATCCAAAGAGTTGTTTGGAATTGGGATGCAAAGTCGCGTCTTACATGATAACCAGACTCGGCGTTACGCTACCTAACAATGTACCTTCTGACTTACTGACATAACGATACGATTTCTTTAGGAAAATTAATGACTAATCGTTACCTGATGTATTCGTAATCGCATAGTTATTTATTGCATCAAAGTTTATTAGCGAATTATCAATTGTTAGAGTGAGAATTAGCATTCCTCATTGATGTTACATTCACGTTGCATTAGATATTTATTTGAACGAATTATATGAAATATTTATGCCGCGTGCGTCCGTTATGTAAAATATAATATAATATTCATGAAAGTTTTATTTATTAAAGATTATTGTCATGTGACTTGTATCATTAGATTGTGTATTTATAAATGCAACGCTTTTATTGTTATCGATGCACAGTGAAAGATAGATATTAGAGATTCTTCTCCATGATCGTTGCTACAGATCTGTAGTTTAATTGTCCAATGTTGCAATGTGCTAAAAACAAAGTTTGTAACTAACAATGATATCGGTTTTCCTTTCTATTTTTTTATGATGTAAAATGTGTCGATATGTAGTTCATATATAGATTGTAT